AGGAGCTGTAGCTCCCGTGTGTTTGAAAATTCCAGAAGCAAGAATTCACCCACAGAAGTCTGATTGGACATTTCTGATGCAGAAGCAGCCCCCTGTTAAAACAAACAGAACAGAACACCATATATTGTTGCTTATGGAAACAGAAGTAGGAAAACTGGGTGGTAGCACATTATTTATTTGTTTAACAGCATTTATATACCACTTGCTAGGACAAAATACTTCTATGTGCCTTACAACAGAATCTAAAACAGTCTTTAAAAATACAAATGAAAACACATATTAAACAGAAATTTAAAACACTTACTAAAAATACATGCCAAAAGCACATTACATGCCTGGGAAGGCATTCTAGAACAAAATGGCTTAGCAAGCACTGGAAACAATACCATGAAGGCTCCTGTCTAATATCAAAAGCAGGAAGTTCCAAAGTGTATGTCCTGCTACATGAAATGATTGATTGATTTATTGTAAGTGTGGAATGAGCATTATGTGGCACTTGTAAAAGTGCCAGTTCCAAATTTCTAATCAGAGTTGAATTTAGGGCACCAAGCCAAGGGGGTACCGCAGGATGCCATGACTATGACATAGTGCACATGCAGAATGGAAGGCAGGGGGCATCAAATTTGGGCCTCACACAAGATGCTGATGAAATTTAATAGACCAAATCTGACCCTGTTCTAAGGCATCAAGTGTGCCCGTATGGGGTGGGGTGATCCTTGGTGTAACATAATCATGTCTTTTAAAGATGCACTAGAAGAAGAATGGAAAGGATTAATGTGGCCACAGAATTTCATCTATGGTAAAATTTGGAATGCAATTTGGAGGTTTATCCTTGGACAAAACATCAGAGAGCTTTTGAAGGAAATAGCAGAAGTCATAATGAAACTGGTTAGATCCTCCAGGAAGATTAAGGCCTTTAGAGCAGGTTGAAAAAACCTTGTACAAATTAACATTAGAAAAGTGCATGATGCAATAATGTTCCCAAGGACCTCACCAGTTTTTCTGATGATAATGGATCTGTAAACAGCAGGTAACTTTTTGCTGACCTTATCCACGAGCCCTAAACTAAGAGCAGCATACATAGTTTGGCCAGCCCAATTTTACCCCCCTCCCAAATCATCAATGTATTGTGAAGTAAACCTATGCAAACTATACAATTTCCCCCTCAAGCATAAAGTGCATTGAGTTGCCTTTAAAATATTTAGTTTAATCCAAATCATTAAAAGTGATGGTGGCAAAGGAGAAAGAGCAGCATGCAAATACAGGCAAAGGTATTTTCTGTGTGTTGTAATTTTACCTTTCTGGTATGATATATGGTGGTATGTCTGGGGAGAAAATGTAGATTGCACTTCTAACGACTGTGCAAAATTGTCCGCTTCAAAGCCAGAGTTGGAAGTTCTTTGAGCAGCCACAGAATGAAGACCACCTGCAAAAAAGGCAGTAAGTAGCATTTGACAGCTCTGACACATGTGATGGCAAAAATCGGAATCATTAGCAGGGCTCTTGTGAAAATCTGTGTTCCACATAGGGAGTTTAATTCCCTAAGGCCAACATGAACTATATTATCAACTGTGTCATTGGCATCTTATCCCTGAGGTTTATTATTCACGATGAATGCTCTACTATTTTAGAATCTTGAATCGTTATCACAGATTGGAAGAGTGAGCAGCCTGTGGTCTGATGGTCACATCTTGGGCTAGTTTCATGCTAGTGACAAGGAAAGGAACAATGGGGGAAAGAGAGTGACAGGAAGAGAGGGAGTGAGGGAGCAGAAAGAGAAAAAGGAATGGAATTCCATCTTTTGGTACTGCCCACATTTAGCTCTGAAGTTGCCATTGCTGATGTCAACCCACCCAACTGACAACATATGGCAAGCAGGCATCCCTCAATGAACTGTGTTCATTTCCTCTTCTATATGGTGTGTGCCATCTCAGTTCTCTGGATCCCTATGTAAATAAAACTACAGTATCCACACACAAGAGAGGAGGTATCAGTGGCCTAAAGTGAGGTGGGGGTGAGGGTTGTGGGATCTGTTGGGGTCTGACTTTTAGAGGACATCTGAAGGCAGCCCTGTTTAGGGAAGTTTTTAATGTTTGCTGTTTTACTGTATTTTTAATATTCTTTTGGGAGCTGCCCAGAGTGGCTGGGGAAATCCAGCCATATAGGTGGGGAATAAACAAACAAACAAACAAACAAACAAACAAACAAACAAATAAACATTAGGCAGTCATCCAATGCTGAACCCTGTCTTGGTGCAAGCCAAGCTGGCAAGGTCTCACTGGGCAGCTGGGCTGAGGATTCCAGCCAGGCAGAGACCCAACCCAAGCTTGGGGCATGCCAAGGCCAATCCTCCCCTCAGGTCCCTTATGGAGCCCCCTTTCACTGTGTTGATCCTTCCTAATGCCATTTTCACCCCTATACATACAGCATCATTCTGCCTAACAAAAGCAAACCTTACATTTTACTGAAGGAAAGGTGGAAAAACCCCAACCAAGAGTTAATCAGGTTGAAAGGGGGGGGTCATTTCCAGCCCTGTCAACCAGTAACCCAAATAGTTGTGTAAAGGCTCTAACTCAAGGGCTGGAGGGGAAGAAGTTTGCAGGGCAAAATTACCCTAATCACTGGTGTGGAAAGACTTATATAGGCTTTTCTCCTCTCTAGCTTCCTGCGAGGGCCTATGGACAGTGCCGGAGACCAAATGGGCCTATGGACAGTGTGGCTGCAGACCAAAGCACTCGTCAGGAGAGCTATGAGATTCAGGTGAGAGTCAGATGCCTTGTCAATTCCAGCAGGTATATAACAGGAAGATCTGGCCTGCTGGGCCTGAAGGTAGTGGAATGGAATCCAGCAGTTGGACTCAGCCAAGCCTGCACCATGGGAGTTGGCCAGTGCTGAACCTTGTCATGGTGCAAGCCAAGTTGGCAAGTTCTCACTGGGCAAAGAGAATGAGGATTCTAGCCAGGCAGAGACCCCAACCTGAGTTTGAGTGTGCCCAGTCCCCGCTACCTTGGGCCCTTTAAGGGGGCTTTCCTTTTTACTAAGTTGATTCTTCCCAGTGTTGTTTCCATCCACCATACCAAGACAGCAATTTCCCACCTAACAAAAGAAAGGCATCATTTTCACTGAAAGAAAGGTGGTGGTGGGGAACCCAACCAAGTTTAAATCAGTTTGGGGGGGGGATACTTTCTGGCCCTGTCAATCAGCAACCCAAATAGCTCAGTGAATACACTAACCCATGGATTGGCAGGTGGGAAGCTTGTGGGGTGAAATGACCCCAAACTCCAGAAGGGGAAGCATTATAAAGCTTTCCATCCCATCCTATGAATTAACCTGCAAGTAGAGAGGGAAGGCTCAGTGGAGAAAAGGGATGACTATGGAAATATCTCAGTTACCATAAAGGATCATCATGCCATCTTGAACATCAAGGTAGTAAGGACAGAGTGCTCTAGAATTCTGATTCTATGAAACTCACAGGCACACATAAGTAGGGCAAGGAGGATGAAAGTGGGTTGCAGCTCCAGGTGTTGCTGTTAATGTGGAGAAAGGAATAATTCAAAGGAATGACAAAGTAGGAAAACTCTTCCATTTTCTTCTAGTTGTGAGGGGCGGCTCACAAGTGGAGTAGCCTAGGGCCTCTCTTCATCTAAATCCGGCCCTGCTCTCGGGTCATCTATCTCCAACTATCTGAACTCATTCCATTCTTCCTAAGCACCAAGCCATCTCCTTCATGACAACTCCACAGGTCATGTCCAGTCCCTTCCAATCCACTAAGGGATATTCAACAAAACCAAACCTATTTCTCTAAACTCCACTGTCAGGTCCAGTAATAAAGATGACATCTAATTAAGTTTTCCGGGGAAGAAAATTGATAAGGGCTATGGAACTATTGGAGGGGTGTCATATGCTCTGTGGGTTCAGAGTGTTGCAGAATGTTATGACATTTGATTTGCTGTAATGAATTCCCTCACTCCCTGTTCATGGATTTAGCAATATATTATGTCCCTAATGGTTGAACGGTAGGTTCCGTTCGTTGCTTTAAAAAAACCCAGAGGACACATTATCACTGGTTGTATTGGTGGTATGGTGTTTAGTTCGTAGCACTGAAAGACACAAGGACACTGAATGAGATGAGGGAAAGAAAAGGACCTAGGAACTGATCCATTTGTTATCATAAAATTTCTCTGCACTGAATAACAGCAATAGAAGTAGAGATATAGACAAATCATAAATGAAGAGAGGTGGGTAACTATCAGGAAGTATGGTCTTTTCAGAGATGGCTGAGGGAGGTTTCTCCAACACTATTTTTGTGATCTGTTCAGTGCCAGGTGAATATATTCACCCAGATCTTTAACTTATGTCTCATAGTCTGGTGCTTACTTTTAGCATGTGTTTAAATTGAGGTTTCTACTTGTTTCCATTATATTTTAACTTTCCTCTTATTATTAAATTTGTATGTGACATATTTTGTTTTTGTTTTTTTAGACTTGCCCAGGGAACTTTTACTATAAACAGTCATATAAAAGGTAAAGGTAAAAGGTATAACAAAGTAATATAAATTCAGTTAAGTCCCTAAGTTATAAGATAAACATGTCCCACAAACTATTCTTCCAAAGCTATGACCATGATAATCTGTTGCAGGAAAAGAATTACATTTTTTCTTCTCTTTTTTGCAACCTGTTAATGGCTGATTAATTCATTATGGCAGCAGCTGTCAAGGACTAGAGTTGCCTTCAACAGATGCCCCCCCACCAAAAAAAACCCAAACATTTGAAATTAGTTTTACATTGAAAGGAAAATAAAAACCTTCGTGAGGATCTTGAACTGTATTCATGATCTTTGATAAAATCTTATACAAAAAATCTGTGATTTTCCTTTTTATTAATGAACCATCATTCACACTCTTAATCATGCTCAATCCTGTAAACTATTTGAAGAATTCTGCTGAAATATGAAGTGGTATATCATATGACTCCTCTCTCTGTATTGTTCTTTTCACAAAGATTTCATTTGTCTCAATGTTGGGAAACCAGACAAAGATGCCAGAATTTATTCTCCTGGGATTTCGGGAATTCTACGAATTGCAGACACTTCTTTTCCTGACATTTCTGGTAATTTATGTTGTGACCATAACTGGAAATATTCTTACGTTTGCCCTTATTGTCTTTGATCAGCACCTTCATACCCCCATGTACTTTTTCCTGGGGAATCTCTCCTTCCTGGAGGCCTGCTGTAGCTCCAATATATTCCCACGGATGCTTTTGGCTCTCATTACTGGAGACAGAAGGATTTCCTACAACAGCTGCTTAACACAGTGGTATCTCTTTGGTTCCTTGGAAGCTACAGAATGCTTTTTACTCTGTGTGATGTCTTATGACAGGTACCTAGCAATCTGTAAACCATTGCACTATGCAACAACTATGAAAACCCAGACTTCTATCCATTTAGCAGCTGCATCTTGGTTCAGTGGATTTATAGCTTGCTTGATATTACTCATTTTGATATTACAGTTAATGTTTTGTGGCCCTAGTGAAATGGATCATTACTTCTGTGAATACTTCCCTCTTCTCAGACTCTCTTGCAGCGACACCAGTGTGTTGGAAATTGCAAGTTACATTGTGGCTGTCATATTTACAGTCCCTCCATTTGTTCTAACTATAACTTCCTATGTATACATTATTGCTGCCATTTTAAGGATCCCCTCTGCCACTGGGAGGCAAAAGGCCTTTTCCACCTGCTCCTCTCACTTGATTGTGGTTTCAGTTTTTTATGGCACACTCATGATTGAGTATATGATACCGAAGTCAACAGAGAACAGAGAGATGCAAAAGATTTCTTCTCTCTTGTACACAGCTCTGTCGCCTCTGGCCAACCCATTTATATACAGCCTAAGGAACAAGGAGGTAAAAAATTCACTGAGGAATAATATTAGGAAACTTGTGAGGTGAAGCAACTTAATATGTAATAGAAGCAACCTGAGCATTTTCTGTGGCATTTCTCTCTCTCTCTTTTGGAGGGGGGTGTTATACAGTTCAGTCTCTGAAAGGATGCATCAATCCATCCATTTCCAGGATTAATAATACATTTTATTGAAAATCATGACCTTGTTTAAATAATCCAGTCATTCTTATTATTTATTTTATTCTTATTTTTGTGTGTTTTACTGTATTTCCATATATTGTTGTCCACCCTCTTTATTTTAGATGAGTGTATAGTATAAAAATATTTTTTTAATAAATAGTGTTTGTAAAATAATAATAATGAGATTATATAATTCATTAATTGCATTGGATGACTATTTGTAAAAACTAGCGTATTTTTGTGTGAGGAGAATTTCAGCTCCGCAATCAGTCAATAAAGGTGTGGGAAACCCCAAACTGAAAACATTGGTGGCTACACCAATAAAAAACAAATGAGTGGTGTATGGCTGGGTTCAATCCACATTCCACATTCAAAACCAAACAATAATGGTAATCATAATTCTACATTTTATGTAGCATAATTCAATAAATATATCACCACAAATATTTGTTTCCTAGTGATTTGTTTGTAAAACAAATGGAATGCCAATTGGGAGAGCAAAAACAAATGAAGCATGGAGGGTTTTTCCACTAGAGTCAGAGAAACAGAAAGAGCCAATACAGTGGTACCTCAGGTTAAGAACATAATTCGTCCTGAAGTGTAACCCGAGGTACCACTGTACAGAATTTTTTCATGTAGATTCTTAACCCAGATTCAGATTGTATTAGGCAAAGAGGGGTTTTTTAAACACACACACACACACACACACACACACACACCAACGATGATTGATTACAGTGGTACCTTGGGTTACAGACGCTTCAGGTTACAGATGCTTCAGGTTACAGACTCCGCTAACCCAGAAATAGTACCTCGGGTTAAGAACTTTGCTTCAGGATGAGAACAGAAATTGCGCAGCAGTGGCGCAACAGCAGCGGGAGGCCCCATTAGCTAAAGTGGTACCTCAGGTTAAGAACAGTTTCAGGTTAAGAATGGACCTCCAGAATGAATTAAGTTCTTAACCTGGGGTACCACTGTATTGCAAAATAGTTAATTTTTTTCTTAATCTTCCGCTTACATGACATGAGAGACTGTTGCACTGGTTAGGAAGTGAAGTCACTTATTCTTTATAATAAAAGTATTTTGCCTAGTATATGGAGGAAGTGTTGTATAGGGAGATGGAAGATGAGCACAGAGCTCATTCATTGCTTGAGCATGCTTTTTAGTTAGCTAGTGTGGCTGCAATTCTTCACATACTTGGGAGTAAGCTTCACTGATTGCAATGGAACTGATTTCTGAGTAGACATGGTTGGGATTGCACACATATCAAGAGAGTAACAAAGAAAACCCAAAAATAAGGAAGATGAAAATGGCACCTCAAAATGATATGGGGGGTGGGGGTGGAGGTCAGTTTTACAGAATGAAACTAGTAGCATTCCTCCATTTGATAAGCATGCTTTGTTGTTGTTGTTTAGTCGTTTAGTCGTGTCCGACTCATCGTGACCCCATGGACCAGAGCACGCCAGGCGCTCCTGTCTTCCACTGCCTCCCGCAGTTTAGTCAAACTCATGCTGGTAGCTTCGAGAACACTATCCAACCATCTCGTCCTCTGTCTTCCCCTTCTCCTTGTGCCCTCCATCTTTCCCAACATCAGGGTCTTTTCCAGGGAGTCTTCTCTTTTCATGAGGTGGCCAAAGTATTGGAGCCTCAGCTTCAGGATCTGTCCTTCCAGTGAGCACTCAGGGCTGATTTCCTTCAGAATGGAGAGGTTTGATCTTCTTGCAGTCCATGGGACTCTCAAGAGTCTCCTCCAGCACCATAATTCAAAAGCATCAATTCTTCGGCGATCAGCCTTCTTTATGGTCCAGCTCTCACTTTCATACATCACTACTGGCATGCTTTACTATAATATAAAATGCATTTTACAGTGCTATTTGGGGTGTTGACTCCTTTTTGCTTTAAGCTAGCTTTGCACCAGCAATTGATTAAAATATGGGATTATTAGAATGTTATTACACCTAGAAAAGAAGGAATGTGAGAATATATTTAGAAAACTTCATTTCATATTAAGCCATTGTATATGTAGGTGACGTTTAATGCAGTTTGCAGTGCTCATTTATAAAATGTAGCTTAAGAAAAACATGAGCACTGAGAGAAATGTGCAATAGTGTGTGTGTGTGTGTGTGTGTGTGTTGCTTTTATTAATATTTTGGAAAATATTAGCTTAATGTTTTGAATATCTGATTTTATCAGTAATTTTAATGTATATTTATATTTTATGTAAACCACTTAGAATTTTTGAGGAATAAGAGTCTGTTAAATAAAAAGATTAAATTAAGATTAGATTCCTATTAGATTTCTATTCCTAATAAGGAGCTATCCATGCTGAAAGGTCTAGACTGCTTTAGTACCACTCCCAGTACTTCTGCCAAATGTTCCTGGAAAATTTGCTTAGGACATGATCTGATTGTTCCTGGGAAGGTGTTCCAAGGACCATAGGATTTCACAACTCTTCTCTATGGGTAGAGAGAAAAGTCTACCCTTGGAAGCCCCCTGCCAGCCACCACCACCATCAGTGCTGTGGCAGCAGAGAGAGCAAAACAGGAGGCATTCTGGAGTCAGCCATCCATGAGTTGCACCTATTGGTGTATCCTAGTTGGTCAGATGCTAGTCATGAGAGACCTTGCTGGCCAGGTTACTAATGCTCCATTCATGGATAATTATATATTCTGCTTCTGTAGCAGAATTCTAAATGTTAATTCCCTGACTAACCTCCTGGGAATAGGTAGCTTAGTAAGAGTTGGCTGCTCAGCTGCAGACATATTAGGATACTACCAGTTGCAGAGAGTATGCCCCTGTATGCCTGTTGCTGGCAGTCACAAGTAGGGAGGCTGCTGTGTACTCAAGTCCTACTTGCAGGCTTCCCAAAGGCATCTGGTTGGTCATTGTGAACTAGATTGGCTTTTGGTCTCATCCAGCAGAGCTTTTCTTACATTCTTATGTACTATAGCATAAGATAAGGCAGCCTTCCACATTCCATCAGCTGTGAACCTGCTATTTACTTATAAACATCTGAGGTTAGTGTTGCTTCTAGTCTTTGGCACTCATATAAATTGAAGAAGCTGGGTATAATGGTTTATGTTTTGATTTGATTTGATTTTTTTAAAAAATTCCTGCACTGATTTGAAAAGACTAGAAGCATCTAGGGATGTATTCTCCTCTGATTCTGAACTGAAGCAATGGTAACCAGGAAATATATTCCCTGCAGGATAACTCATGCCATACAACACATATAGAACAGAACATCTCAGATATCTTGTCTTCTAAATTGCAGGCAGGCAGGATAAAGGAAAGAAGGAAGGAAGGAAAGACCGAAAGAAGACAGATGTGCCTTAATTCTTAATAAAGTGAAGATGAGAAAGGAGAAAATGTGGCTTTCATGCCATGGAGGTAAGCAGTTTTCTGTCTCACTTATCCTTCTGCAAATTTTCAATCTGATCAACTTAATAAGAAACAGAATTATATCCATGAACTTCAACAATCATGCTGTGAAACATTCAGGAATTGTAATATTTAGGCAATGCATAACCACTGTTACAAGTATAACTGATGCTGCTGAGATAAGTTGGGTGTGGACCATATTGGTCTCCTTTTTATGGATGACCACTGGGAGCCCCATGTCATGCTACGAGATATGCATGATAAATGTTTCTGAAATGCAAACTTATAAACATTGGACACATGTGCATCATAACACATAAAAGCATTGGGGTTTTTTGTGATGGGACTCAAGAGTACAGAGTACCACCTCATTCCCCTGCTGGCACCCATGACACTTTTAACAATATATGAGTACCAGCACATATTTTCCCCACCCTGTGCTGCACTTTACATAGGATTTTCATGAGACTCGGGAGCACTCTCTCCTTGCTACCTTGAAAATGATGGCTTTCTTTTCTTAGGTGGGAAATTGCTGTCTTGGCATGGGGGATGGAAACGACACTGGGATAAATCAACTTAGTATAAAGGAGAGCCCCCTTAAAGGGCCCAAGATAGTGGGGACTGGCCATGGCACCTCAGGTTGGGGTCTCTGCCTGGCTAGAATCCTCATTCTCTTTGCCCAGTGAGAACTTGCCAACTTGGCTTGCACCATGACAAGGTTCAGCACTGGCCAACTCCCATGGTGCAGCCTTGGCTTAGTCCAACTGCTGGATTCCATTCCACTAGCATCAGGTGAGTGGAATGATGAGCTAATGCTGGCCCTACTGCCATTCCAACCTGTACCATGCTTGGTGCCATCAATAAAGATTTGGCCTGATTTCATCCCAACTCCTGGTGTCCTGTCTGTTCATTTGCTGCTCTTCTGGGTCAAATAATTCACCTGCCAGGCTAATCTATTAACTTTAATGTTATCTCTTTTTTCAAAGATAGATTCCAAGATCTCTTTAATCTCTGATGAATGCATTTCATAAACTATGGAACAGACTACATGAGGAAAGCAGATGAACGTTACAGAATATATCCTCTTGGGTTTTGGAAAATTCGGTCAATGGCAAAATATCCTATTTTTTGTTTTCCTATTGATCTATATTGCAGCCATGATTGGAAATGTACTCATTGTAATTTTAGTGGTAGTTGATCAGCATCTACATACGCCCATGTATTTCTTCCTGGGAAACTTGTCGTGCCTAGAGACTTGCTATATATCAAATGTCATGCCCAAAATGATGGTGGGCTTGTTGACTGAGGAAAATGTGATTTCATTCAGCGGCTGTTTTGTGCAGTTCTTTTTCTTTGGTTACCTTATGGCAGCAGAATGCTATCTTCTCTCAGTAATGTCATATGATAGATATTTAGCAATATGCAAACCACTGCATTACACAACAACTATGAATGCACAAATGTGCATCCAACTAGCAGTTTCTTCGTGGATAAATGGACTTATAGCTACTTTAATACTTTTGGGTTTTATGCTAGAGTTAACATACTGTGGCCCCAATGAAATTGATCATTATTTCTGTGATTCTGTCCCACTTATAAAACTTTCCTGTAGTGACACCAACCTGGTGGAAGTTATGAGTTTTGTCCTGGCATTCATATTTACCCTGCCACCTTTTCTCCTCACCTTGACATCCTACATAGCCATCATAACTACTATCTTGAAAATTCCTTCTACAACTGGGAGGAAAAAAGCATTTTCCACTTGCTCTTCTCATCTTATTGTAGTTTCTACCTTCTACGGAGCCATCATGATAGTGTATATGTTACCGAAGAGAGAAGCACTCCGTGATCTCAACAAAGCTTTCTCTCTCTTGTATACAGTCCTACCCCCTGTCGCAAATCCTCTTATATATAGCTTGAGAAATAAGGAGGTAAAGCATGCCATAGGGAAATTATTTGGAAAGTATTGCATTCCTCCAAGAAGCTGGAGAGAATTGCTACAATGATTAAGAAAAAGCAGTGGTGAAGCAACTTCATAATCAGAATTTCAGGTGTGTTTTCCTTGAACTGTTTTACCTCTTTTAGCCCCACCCTGAAGAAAACGCCGAAATAGTGTGCAAGTTGACCTAGTTCTCTTAGTAATATTGTAATGAAATATTACAGTAAATTGTTTCTAAAATGTGTTTTTGTTCATACTGCTTTACCATGCGTACTTAGTATTCTGCTTAATAAAAATAATGTATTCCTACTTTGTCATTCCTTTGAATTCTTCCTTTCTCCACATTAACAGCAACACCTGGAGCTGCAACCCACTTTCATCCTCCTTGCCCTGCTTATGTGTGCCTGTGAGTTTCATAGAATCAGAATTCTGGAGTTGGAAGGCACTAGCTAGTCCACTCCCAGCAATGCATGAATCACAGTTAGAGAGTCCTGGAAAGGTGGCCATCCAACATCTGTTTGGAAACTTCCAATGAAGGAGAGTTTCTATAAACATTTTCCTACCTTCTCTGCTAGGAAGGGGTGATACTTTTCTTTTCTTTTGTTCTGTTCTTCATATCCTTCATATTATTAATTTTGATCATTATTATTACACACTTATACACAATTATGTGTGTAATTCCATTCGAAGCCCAATCTACACAGCGTGGTTTTGCCTGGCAGTGTGAGCCCCAATGAAGCAGAAAATGAGGTGAGTTCCATCAATGGCTTGCTTCCACAGATGTCCACAGGACAGATTCCCCAATAAGGTAAAAAGGTAAAGGACCCCTGGACAGTTAAGTCCAGTCAAAGGGGGCAATGGGGTTGTGGTGCTCATCTCGCTTTCAGGCCGAGGGAGCCAGTGTTTGTCCACAGACAGCTTTCTGAGTCATGTGGCCAGCCTGACTAAACCACTTCTGGTGCAACAGAACACCATGACAGAAAGCAGAGTGCATGGAAATGCCATTTACCTTCCCGCCACAGCGGTGTCTATTTATCTACTTGAACTGTCCTGCTTTTGAACTGCTAGGTAGGCAGGAGCTGGGACAGAGCAACAAAAGCTCATCCTGTTGTGCGGATTCGAACTGCGACCTTCTGATCGGCAAGCCCAAGAGGCTCAGTGGTTCAGACCACAGCACCACCCATAGGCAGGGCTGGATTTAGATGAAGAGAGGCCCTAGGCTATTCCACTTGTGAGCAGGGCCTTTTCACTGATGGTGCCCATTGTATGCCTCGCTATTCCCAGACCTGCTCTCTTTTGGCCTGTATTTTGGAGCTTTATAATTTAGGAAGACTTTGGAAGAACTGAGTGACAAGTCGTATCAGTTGCTGACGTATGAGTGGATTTTATTTGCTGCTATTCTGGGCTCCTGGTGAACCAGGATTTACACCGGTGTAATAGAGTTGGCCAGGACACCAGAATGGATACAATTTATGAGCTTTCTCCATCATCTGCACAGCAGGTGGTGTTCAGTCAACAGTGCAAAGGCTAAGCTGAACCGTTCCCTGCTGGTTACCTGCTTTCAGCAATAGGGGTCGCTGTTTGGTAGTACAGTGGAACATCGGGTTAAGAATTTAATTCGTTCTGGAGGTCCGTTCTTAAGCTGAAACTGTTCTTAACCTGAGGTACCACTTTAGCTAATGGGGGCTCCCGCTGCCGCCACGCCACCGCCGCCCAATTTCTGTTCTCATCCTTAAGCAAAGTTCTTAACCCAAGGTACTATTTCTGGGTTAGCAGAGTCTGTAACCTGAAGCATCTGTAGCCCGAAGTGTCTGTAACCTGAGGTACCACTGTACCCAATTGGTTAGCTGTCAGATTCTAGAGCTCCCAATAGGTGACTCTTAGGTAATTCATAAAATACAGAGTCCATTCATAAAACACAGTGTTCATTCATAAAGCAGTAACAAATCTCCATTGCTACATATTGGGTGTATATTTCAGCTGCTGAAGTACAGGTTTATGACCATGCTGTAGTGTAGTGCTTATGTGAATGTGAATAAAAGGTGGCTGGGCTCATTGTCTCAGGGTTTGGGGTGGGGAGAGAGGTGACAAAACTGATTTCCAATAAGTGCCCCCCCCTATTTCTTAACAAGTCCTTGAGTCTGTACTCTGAATAGTGACACTAGGGACCTAGAAGGTGCAGGGCTTGTCAGTCCAACCCCTGCACAGTCTCATCGGGGCTGACCTTAAGGCAGTTGAAGCAATTTGGCCAAATTGGGCCCCGTGTGCCACTCTTAAGGGCCCCCCTCACCAGGGCAATCTAGATGGATTTTCTTTGTATCTATATGTTTTTTGCAAACTTTGGCTGTGACCTGGGGCCCTACAAAAAAAAAATCAAGTTGTGCCCTACTGCTTCAAATTGGGCCTCACTGGCTAGCCCCGAGTCTCACAGTTTCTGGGCCTGAGTTGCCCTGCCTTTGCATGACGTCTTGGGTTTACAATTTGGGAAGAGGGGAGACTGTGGTACTGGGGAGTGGGCAGGCTGACAAGGCCCCCTAGATTTAGAGGCCCAAGTTGCCCTGCCCTCACATGAAGTCTTGGGTTTGCAATTTTGGATGAGGAGATTGCCTGCTTGGGAATTCGCAGGCTGGTGAGGCCCCCTAGGTTTTGAGGCCCTAGGCTTCAGCCTACTTAGCCTATACATAAATCCAGCACTGCCCGAGAGAGAATCCTAGCAGATTGTTGGAGCCTAAAGCTTGACCCTAAATATATATCAGAACCTAGGTAGTGGACCAATGGAATTTGGTGTATGGAGCTAGATCTAGATAAGGGCTCAAGCAGGTTGACAGAAAAGTGTTCTGCTCCTGTGGTGTCAGATGCCTCTAGCTAGGCACCTCTGATAGTAAAGCCACAGCTTACAGCCCCTCAGTTAGTGAAGCCCCTGCCAGCATGTTGGAGAGCTGAATAGGAGTAATTTGAGAGCCGATGGTTATATAGCGGTTAGAGTAGCAGAGCTGGACCTGGGAGACTGGGTTTCAGATAATATGTCATATACTGAGTCAGACCTGTCTCTACCTCTGTCACTCTGGACATGGAGACATCAGAAATGGAATGCCTGTTTGCTTCTTTATTCGTGAGACCCAAGCCGTTTGCCATTTTAAGAGGTGTTTTCCTGTCCCACTTTTCAGCACAATTTATTAAATAGATTATTTCATTCTTCTTATTTAAAATATTTATTTATTTATTTAATTTTATACCATGGACTCACAGAAAAATATGAAAAATGTATGTAAATACAAGAAAACATAAAATCCTTTAAAAATAGAACATAAAGGTAAGCCTGACTGAGAAATTAAACAAAGAGATTAAACAATTTTGAGTGATTTTCAATAAAAAAATTATCATTGACCAATTTCTTTTGAGGGGTTGGTTTTTTTAAAAAAATAGTGACTAACAAATTCAGATAACAACAGGCCTAATAATGCCATGATCACTTCAAATTAATAACGAAACACCATTTAAGGATATGTGTTATAATAAAATATGCATTTAAATGTGTCATCTATATTTTTTAAACATTCTTACAATTATGTCATTCAATGCAATTTATTACATAGATTATTTCATTCTTCTTATTAAGTTTTTTTTATTAAGTTTTTTTTTTAATTCTATACCATGGACTCACTGAAAAGATGTATGTAAATACAGGAAAACATAAAAAACTTTAAAAATAGAACATAGGCGTAATGCTGACTGGGACATTAAACAAAGAGATTAAACAACTTTGTGTGATTTTCAATAAAAAATATCATTGACCAATTTCTTTGGAGGGGATGATTGAAAACACTTTGAAACATTTATTTCAGCATTGTTGTTTTTTAAAAAATAGTTACTAACAAATTCAGATTAGAACAGGCCTAATAATGCCATGATCACTTCAAATTAATAACGAAACACCATTTAAGGATATGTGTTATAATAAAATATGCATTTAAATGTGTCATCTATATTTTTTATGTCAATTTCTTTTTCTTCAGGGGGAAAAAAACACCTAAAACTGTAATGCACTGGAAATAGACAGATCTACACATCAAAATCAGCAACTGAACTTTATATCATCCACCAAAAAAGAGATGCTAGAGAAAATTACATTGTTGCTCATGCTTCACATTAATTCACTTCATGAGAATTGCTTAGCATGAAACAAGTTTACCAATTTTATTCCTCAGGGCATTTTTGACCTCCTTATTTCTCAGGCTGTATATGAATGGATTGGCAAAAGGCGGCAAAACTGTATACAAGAGAGAGGAAAGTTTTTGCATCTCTTTGTTGACTTCACCCTTTGGTAACATGTACACAATCATTAGCGAACTATAAAAAATTGAAACTACAATCAAGTGAGAGGAACAGGTGGAAAAGGCCTTTTGTCTCCCAGTGGCAGAGGGTATTCTTAAGATGGCAGCAATAATATATGAATAGGATGTTAAAGTTAGAACAAAAGGAGGAAATGTGAATATGACAGCCACAATGTAACTTGCAATTTCCAACACACTGGTGTCACTGCAAGAGAGTTTAAGAAGAGGGAAGTAGTCACAAAAGTAATGATCCATTTCCCTGGGGCCAGAAAATGATAACTGTAGCATCAGAATGAGTAATATAGAAAACCCAATAAAGCCATTGAGCCAAGACGCAGCAGCTAAATTGATACAAGTATTGGTTTTCATAGTAGTTGCATAATGCAATGGTTTACAGATTGCTAGATACCTGTCATAAGACATCACACAGAGTAAACAGCATTCTGCAGCTTCCAAAGAACCAAAGAGATACCACTGTGTGAAGCAGCCGTTGAAGGAAATTGTTCTGTCTCTAGTCAGGAGAGCTGAAAGCATTCTTGGAAATATATTGGAACTGTAGCAAGCCTCCAAGAAGGAAAGATTCCCAAGAAAGAAGTACATGGGAGTATGTAGATGGTGATCAGTGACAACAAGGACAACAATCAAAGTGTTTCCAGTTATGGTCACCATGTAAATGATGAGAAAAGTCAG